CCCTGTACCCACTGCCCAGCTTCACTAATGATGAAATCATAACCACTCTTATTATATCTCTAACTCCATTCATCCACCCTCCCATTTTGTTCTGCAGCAAATCCCAGATGTTGAATCATTTCATCTGTAAAATCATCAATAACTATCTTTAAAGAAGGCAAACCCAGAGTTCCTTTTTTAAAAAGTTATGGTCAAATACAATTATACACCAAATGGTGATATCACTTTTGTCTTAAAATAATAATTGATGGCTACATTCTGTATTTCTACAAGATAATATCTGACCAGAATTTGAAACATTTTTCCAAACATGCTTGAATAGAAATTAAAATGAAAAAGAACGCTTCTGATTTGAGATTTACTTAAATCCTCTCTTAGGATTATAAACTAAGGCAGATGTTGAAATCGCTACTCAATAACTATGAGAACTGCAGAAATGGAAAGTGAAGCAATGGAGCCCTTTCTAATTCTGTTTTTCCTCAAAAGGAGAACATTCTGTGAGCATCCACCGCATGTGGGCAGGCTCCTTCCTGTGAGGCTAGATGGTCTGCTTCACTTCCCAGGTGAGGATGACTAGGTGGACAGAGACCAGAGGCCAAAGGGGCTCACAGAGCAGACCCCTGGTTAAGGAAGCATCTGAACTCAGGCCTGACTCACCATAAAATCAGTGCATTTCTGCTTTCACATACAGGCGTTTTCATCACAGTATCACTTTTAGATTCATAATTAAAAATGCTTTCTCTCATTCCTGCCTGCAATGCAGGAAACCAGGTTTCGATCCCTGGGTAAGGAAATCCTCTGGAGAAGGAAATGGCAACCCACACCAGTATTCTTGCCCAGAGAATCCCATGGACAGAGGAGCCTGTCGGACTATGGTCCCTGGGGTCGCAAAGAGTTGGACACCACTGAGCAACTAACAGTTTCACTTTCACATCATGCCTGTTACCAGAATTAAAGACGGTCAGGCTGAATTTGGAAGGCCTCATCTCAACACCCCCGCTGCACAGATGAAGACACAGAGGCCTGGAGGTGGGCAGTTCCTTGCCAATGCCATTCCAGCTGGGGAGCTGCAGGCCCACGAATAAAATCACGTTTTATGTCTTTGAGGTGGTGCCCGTTCTCTGCATACAGCCTTATCTCTAGGTGTAATAGTTCCAGAATTCCTCTTCCTGCTTTAGTCCTGGGCTCAGTAACACATTAGAATATTCAAAGGCTGACAGCATTTGGGAAGCTCTCGTCCCAGAAGAATACAAGCACCAAAGGTCACAGACAAATGCACCCCCCACTCCACGCTGGGCCCCTGGAGTGTATCACAGGAGCACACGACCTTTCCATGGAGCACACAGCAGCATGTGCTGTACTAGCAATGAGCCTGGAGAAAACTGAAGTCCTGCTTCAGGAGACTGGAATAATGAGCGACCTCAATACAGCTAACCACTTTCCCGGTGGCTCAGATGGTGAAGAATCTGTCTGCAATGCAGGAGACCCAGGTTCAACGTCTGGGTCGGGAAGATCCCCTGGAGAAAGGCCTGGCTACCCACTCCAGTATTCTTGCCTGGAGAATCCCCACGGACAGAGGAGCCTGGCAGGCTAAAAACCAGAGGGTCGCAGAGTCAGACGCAACTGAGCAACTAACACTTTCACTTTCAAGGGTTCCAAACAGAAGGGAGACACGCAGAAGTGGTTTGAATGAGCCACCTTTATCTATCCAGTTAACATGGATGCAAGATGAAGACTGTCACCAATGGCAATCTCTTATTTTCAATGCTTATCTTTATGCTCACAGCAACCTTATGAGGTAGACAAAGCAGGTTTATAACTAGCTGTTGACTGATTTCATATTTTGCATTATGCCAGTTAAAATGCCTGGAGGAGTTACATAGACCATGTATTTACCCAGTGCCAGAACTACAAGAAAAAGGCAAAAAATAGTTCTAGGTCTTTAAGGGCTTACAATCTAATTGAAGAGATGGGACCACATACACACATCATAAAACTATTAAGGAGATAAGGCAAGGCAGCCAGAACTTTTCCGAAAGTGAAGTGAGTGGCCAACCTTGGCCTGTTCCACAATCTTTCTTTAAGCTCTAAAATGAGCTCATCCGGCCCTGAATTCCTTGGAGGGGTGGGGGCACATGCAGAGACCAGCTGACAGCTGGAGACCTAAGGGACTATTTATAGCAAGAAAGAGAGAAGGAACAGATGCCTTCATGGTGCCCTGAGACAGGAGGTCCATGTACAGTAGCAGATCTTACAACGCTGCCTACAGCCTGAAAGGCAGGTTCACTTTCCTTGTCCTAAACACTGATGGAAAAGCCTTAAAACTAGGTTGCCTGAGTGATTACAGAAACCCACCAACACACAAGCTTCAGCCTTTCCATTCACTGCTACGATGCATAGGTACATTCCTATAATTTTGCTCCCTGCAACATCTCGTTTCAAAAGCCCATAATCATGTGTGATGATTTTAACTTCACTAATATATTTACATTTTATTATGAAGAATCAAACTTCAACCAGACTTTAATACTCAATAAGGAAAGAGTTCTGTAACATGGAAATCATGTTTAGAATCTAGCACTCCTTATCTTAAAATAGTTCTGAGATTCTGAAATTCCACATTATTATCACCCATCCTATCATCCTCAGTGAAATACTTCAGTAAAGGAACCAAAATTAAAGTTCACTAAATCGCTGATTTGATCTCTTTAAAGAAGAGTTGACTTAAAAGTATTATAAATGACTAAATACAATCAATTAATTATACTCTATAAATAACCAATCATAATACAATTCATTAAATAGCGTGGTGTGCTTCTCTTAAAGTTTTATTGTCAAAGAGAATGCAGTTATATCTGCCATGTACTTAAGAAAAGTACATATATTGCTAAGAAAAAGAATAAATTCAGCTTCTATTCCCCTCCAACTTACAAAATCTAAAGTAGGGCTAAAATACCAACATCAGTCCCATTCACAAGGAGGAAAATTGATTTTAATGAATTAAGTAAAACCTAGAACTTACTTTTCCTGTCCCTATTTTAGGACCAAAAAATACTTTCTATAAATAATGTGACACGAGTTACTTATGCACGCTGTAAAACCCCTGGTAATACTGGCTCTTGTTTTTTATGTATTTAAACCTTTCGTGCAAGCCTTACTTTAAAATTGGAAAATGACAGTAAAGGCGAGAAGTGCCTAGATGTTCTTAAAGATTTCCAAGACTGTGACAACAGTGCCCTATCCTGGCTCTGACTAGTAGCCCTGGTAATACATTCTAAATGGTCTTCTGTACATAACAGTATATTTTGGGGTTTTCTGCCTTCCTTCAACATGTATGACTTGAACAGATTTGCTGCTATTCAAGTTGAGGAACATATTGTGAAATAAAAGCAATGCTGTGAAATATACTATTTTCACTTTTCCATCAGGCTGTCTTCTCCAAATGAGATGTTATGGTTTGTATGTTTTGTTAAACGTAGGCCGTGTAGAAATGTATTTTATTAAACTGATGTTAATGCATTTAGATTAAGAAAACAGAATTGTGAAAAAATAAAACACATTCTACTGTGGTTAAGCTAAACAATAAAGGCAAAAAACTGTTTGGAGGATTTAACTTGTTGAGTGTCAAGGTAGAAAATCCAGGTGAACACATGACTTTTCCCGAAGGTTTGTTAAAAATTAGAAAACAATTATTAATAACTGACATATAGTCTTTTCTTTCGCCATGGCTTACTGCTTGAATCTCTAGGCATCAGTCATTACATCACATAGAGAACTGTGGGGTTGTATTTTTGGTTGACATACTCCACAGTGCTCACTTCAGAGCTCCCTAGTCTACACTGAACATAAAGATGAAACGAAATCCTCTACATGATGGGAGTCTGTTTCAGACACTGGCTTATACAGAAATTTTTTATTATGAAATGCCACACAGCCTGGCACAGAGTGCTCAAGAATGGGGCATTACTGGAAGACCCTCTAAATGCAACCCTCAAGATCCTTGCCCTTGACTGTCCTCATTATGAAATCCTTTTGCTGTATCAATATCCTAACCTCCTGAACGGGGTCCCAGAAGAACTCATGCACACCGATTTTTTTTTTAACTGTGAGATTTTACTCACACTTAAAATATCTTTTGATTGTTCAATTATAAAACATTGCTAAGGTTTTGCTTAGATCTTGATTTAAATAAAGGATACATAAATAAGAATAAATATTTAACTGATGTCCCTTTTTTTTTTTTTTTTTGGTCATAAGTACTTGCTCTGTAATGCTAGCTTAATAAAATATGTAGACTGTGCTTTCTCCCTTAAAAACAATAAAAGGTGGTCAGTCACACATTGCCCTGGGGATGGTTTTCACAAGCAAACCTATTAATATAAATGTTAACAATTATAAAATCATCCACATCCTCATTTAAAAAAAAAAAAAGCTAGCTCTGCTCTTAAGTCTTCATACTCTCAGTAGCCATAAACTGTCATTTGGCTATGTTATGGTTCAACAAGCTTTCTTTTGCCTTTATGTGCTTTTTGAACTCACTGACCTAAATTTCATCAACTCTAAGAAAGGGTAAATACAAATGTCAAAAGAGAAGTCCATCCAACAAACAATAAACCTTCCCCTACCTGTACTCTGCAATTTCCTGACTTGGTGAGAACCCATCTATACTGACATTGAGGTTATAGTCTCATCTTATTTTGTTAATACTTCCCCCGTGCTCTGGATTTTTATACTTTCCAAAACATGCATCCATTTAAACAAAGCCATAAAGTCACTATGTCTTCCTAAATTTAGGAAGCTATCTTTTGTAGTTAGTAAAGTTCTGAGGTTGCAAATGGGTAAGAATCACCCACCGTCTCAGAGGATTGTTACTCAAGAGACAAAAGCTGAAGCAAGTGAAAAATCAGAAGTGTTCTGCAAGTCTCAAAACACTCTGGAATGAATGCCTGCCAGGGTCTGAGAGAAAAGGGGGCGGGGCGTCGTCAGAAACTTCCGCTTACCCCTTGCTCAGATTCCAAAAGCTCTGTTTTCACTCTGACTGCCGGCATCCCATCAAGCATTAACATTCTGTTCTCGAAGCTGTTGATATTCTGAGAATAAGAAAAAAGGGAGAGAGGGAAATTCAGCTATAAAGTGTTCAACGGAGGACATCTAAATGTAGCACATTTAGTACCGCGAACCTGATTTTTAACAATATAGTATAATTAAATGAGAATACCCGCACCACCAATTATCCCCCCATTCTGAACTTTCATTAGAAATAATGACCAAGAACTTGAATTAATCAGTCTGATTCTCTGACCTCTGGGTTGCAGGTCAGATGATAATAAACTGGAGTGAGGAAACCTTACATTAATTTATATGGGGCCGGAATAATTCATCAAGCTTTTGCAAATAGTGGAAGGAAATGCAAGGCGAGTTTCTTTCTTCCTTTAGCTTTGGAGGTTGTACTGCATACAGAAATCCATAAAGAACAAAACAGATCACAATAATTTATATTCTCTCATATTCCTGTCAAAGTCTAAAGAATTTTAAAAGCAAGAAACTGTAATACTAGACAGTTAATTCTGGTATTGTGGCATACCTGACCCAATGAAAATTTCTACCTGTCAACCTCAAACATCTTCTTCAAAAACAACTAATGTAACTATTGGATTAAGAATGAATTCTTAAGCTGAAATCATAATCAAAGAATAAAGAACAATTTGTTTTCTGTTCTCGTATATGTTTGGCTCCATTTGCCACCTCTTGAAAGGAAAACCTTACTTCTATGTGGTTCAATAGAATTTCCAACAACATTTATAAAAGGATTAAATCAAGGTTATCTTTGACTAATTCCCACGACTTTGGGGATTTTCTGAAGTCAATAATCTATGAAGGGAGTCATAAAGCCACACATCAGTTTTGCTTCAGGTCAAAATCAGGCTCATGTTTTAAAATATGTTGAGAATGCCAACTTTACTCTCAAATACTGATTAAACCCAGAAATTAAAATCACTAAGTTTGACTGAATTTTTAGGATAGTTTCTTTGCTCGGTTATAGAATGTAACCATGACACTTAAAGTGGTCTTACTAAAAGATAAAAGACATTTTCTAAATGTTTGCCTACATGGTGACAAAGGTTAATACCACTTCTACACCATCAAGTTTTCCCCATTCATAGAGTTGCTTTTCTCCCCAGCAGACAGTTAAATAAAAACTCCCACTTCAACACATCATAAATTAAATGCTTTTATTACCAAATAATACCAACAGAGCGCAACATGGTGAAGCTCTAAATATTTCTCCCATTTCTTGACTCTCTTTTTTGTTTAACAAAAATACTCTAAGAAATAAAATGTATGGAGCCACTCATGACAAATATTTGCTCAGAGAAACCAACAGCAAGAAGAAAAAGCAAATTTACACTAAAGCTAACTAATAAGCATTCAGAAATTCCATTCTACCTAGTTAGGTAGGGAATAAAAAGAAAATTACTGTCATGTTCTTCTCTTAGAAAAGTACAATGCTATTAACACTGATAGGATACTTTTTTTTAATGTTTGCTTTTGATTTGTCCCTATCTTGGAGGGATTTTCACACCCTCATGGCTTAGAATAGGAGGAAATCTGGTGTTAACTGGTGAGCTCAGTGCATTTGTTCCAAGCTTAAAATCCTTTCAGGGAGGCTGATGGATTGCTTACACATCAGGGCATGGATCTCAAATCCCAATGGGGCACTTGCTTCCACGGTTGGAAGTGGCCGGCTGGACCTGCCCCCTTTCAGCCTCAGGGAAGCCTAGGAAGGAGGTACCCAACCCTCAAGTGCCCAGTCCTTCACAGCAGCCAGGAATTTGCCCTAACGAAGCTTCTGGGAGGCCGTTTGGTTGGTAGACAATGAAGGATGAGCTGATATAGTTTCCTACCCCGGAGGAGGTCTTGCCCAGGTGGAAAGCGAAGAAGATGCCTTGCAAAGAAAGGGGAAAGACAAAGAACGATCCTGGAAAGGCAGGTTTAATGAACTGTTAGAATCTGATTAGAGGCTAATGTCCCTTTTAGTGCTCTGTACCAATTTACAGCTGATATACTTCAGCTGTTTTCCTGGCTGGCTGTGATCAACTCATTCTTTTTTAAAAAAAAAAGGCAAGCTAACCAGAGTTTTTGAAGTTAAAAACAGATAAATCATAAAAACCTGACTGGGTTCATATTCCATTGAGTACATTTAAACATCACTGCATTTGCAATATCATTTGTGTTGCTGTTGTTGTACTCCAATAATTCTAGATGTGTTAAAGACACGACTACATTTCAGTTTCATGTAAAAGTCAACAAAAATCCAATACATTTTCCAAAAAACTTTCTTTTTAAATAAAGTTTGCCCTGTAAATATTTCTCTTCCCCTGGTTTTTCCAGGATCAGCCAAAGCACAGCCATAATAAACATCATAAATAACACTGTTCACAGCTAAGGAACCCATCTTTTAAAAAATTCTTGCAACTAATACAGATTCAATCCGTACATATGCCTGAAAGTTAGACTATACACACATGAAGGATATTAATCTTTGCATTCATGATTCTAACCTTGTTTAGCACAAAGAGAAACACACATATTCCATGCATCACACCATATTCCAGACCATCCAACAAGGTGTATGGTTTTTATAAAGCATATGATAATTTTACAGCATTAAGAGTACAGTCCTTGGAACAAAACACAATAAACAGATTTATCTCTCTGAGCTAAAATCAGATACATACAGTCTCAACTGACTGCAGACTTTAAATATGTAACGAACTGTAAATTGCTGTCAAACACATCTTGCCATGATCTTGATCAAAATGCATTTACAGGAAAATCCAATTGCCCGATTGAGTCCCCAGAGGAAAATAAAATTACAGTCATCAATTTTAGTAACATGGTACTCTTTATGTTGTGACAAACTTTGTGATATTATACAACCCTATATAATTTATGTGCACGTGTTTATATTCATGCACACATCTATATACCTATGCTACTTATTTCATATGAGTAAAGTGTATCAATTATAGCCAAATTTACCATCAGATTAGCTGACTGTTGATCAGTTACATGTACACTGGATCAGAATGGTACTCTGGACACTCGTACTTGCCAAGTAAGATTTGGCGCTTAGCAGTCCAGCTGATACTAGTTCTCCCAGTCAAAGGAGGTATAAACCAACAGTGCTCAATCCTGGCATCTCATAGTATTCTGAATGGAACATGGAGGAAGGAAAAAAAAGGATGCTTACTGATAATCTCTCATAAAAAACAGAGAACAAGGATGACTTTCCAAGTCAACTACTACAATCTGGAGTGGTAGATTGGAATCCTCCAGTTCCCAGAATACAGGTCTCCTCTTCTCCCTCCTCCAGAATATGGGTTATCCAGTTTGCACAATTTAAGTAATAAAGAACAAGCTAGTCAACATTCAATAAATCTAATTTTTAAACCATGTTTCCCTTCATAAGCCAAAAATATCTACTGAGATTTGTTGTGATTTCTCAAGATGCAGGACATATTCATTTAAACACACTTCCATCATGAATCTCCAATGTTTGGCTAGAGGTACTGTTGGAGAAGACTCTTGAGAGTCCCTTGAACTGCAAGGAGGTTCAACCAGTCCATCCTATAGGAGATCAGTCCTGGGTGTTCATTGGAAGGACTGATGCTGAAGCTGAAACGCCAATACTTTGGCCACCTCATGTGAAGAGTTGACTTATCGGAAAAGACCCTGATGCTGGAAGGGATTGGGGGCAGGAGGAGAACAGGACGATAGAGGATGAGATGGCTGGATGGTGTCACCAACTCGATGGACATGAGTGTGAGTAAACTCCGGGAATTGGTGATGGACAGGGAAGCCTGGCATGCTGCAATTCATGGGGTCACAAAGAGTCAGACGCGACTGAACTGAACTGAATGAGAAATATGAATCGCCCCCAACCATGCCCATGTTACATTCAACAGTGATCAAAGGGACATAGTAGCAACTCAGGATGCATGCACCAAATTGATTGAGGTACGTTCAGAAAAGATTCTGAAGAGTTTGTAATGCAAAGGTGCGTGCGTGTGTGCTAAGTCACTTCAGTTGTGTATGAATCTTTGAGACCCTGTAGACTGTAGCCGGCCAAGCTCCTCTGCCCACGCGATTCTCCAGGTAAGGACACTGGAGTGGGCTGTATGTTCTCCTCCAGCAGATCTTTGCGACGAAGGGATGGAATCCGTGACTCTCAGGCCTCCTGCACTGGCAGGCAGGTTCTCCACCACTAGCGCCACCTTGGAAGCCCTAACGCGAACATACCAACTGGTGAAAAGCATCACCCTTTGACGACTTTTCTGGGTTTCCCAGATGGCTCAGACAGTAAAGAATCTGCCTGCAATGCAGGAAACCTGGGCTCAACCCCTGGGTTGGAAAGATCCCCTAGAGAAGGGAACAGCTACCCACTCCAGTATTCTGGCCTGGAGAATGCCATAGGAAAAGGAGCCTCAGGGCTACAGTCCATGGGGTAGAAAAGAGCCGGACATGACTGAGTGACTCTCACTTTCTCATAGGAAAAGCAGAAGTATCAGATTATAAGGAAACTATACTTTGCTAAAAAACCATTTCATACAAAAGTCAATCACCACCCTTTTTGACTCAATTCTAACATAACAACAAAATCAACAGTAACAACTTTTTTCAAGCCTTTATGCCATTCAACCAATAGGTCATTTCTTCAGAGAAGACATTAACTGTTTGATCCAACTCCCAAATTTTGGCTGAAATCCAAGAGAATGAGTGAATTTTTGCTCTTTGTAAGGATCAACACATCTCAGAGATTAGAATAGTGTCCAGTCAAGTCTTCCATTATCTGCTGTTATGCAACAACAGGTAGTATAAAACAACTATCATTTTACTATTATTAATATCTTGGTAACACACACAATGGGCTTTCCCGGTGGCTCAGCCATGAAGAATCTGCCTGCTGAGACTCAGGGACACAGGATCAATCCCTGGGTTGGGAAGGCCCCCTGGAGGAGGGCATGGCAACCCACTCCAGAAATCTTGCCTGGAGGATCCCATGAACAGAAGAGCCTGGCGGGCTGCA